AAAAAAAAAAAAACACCAGCCAACATGATGACATATGAGAATATTCACTCACTAACAGCAAAACACATTAGTCACATTAGTTACAAATGTAAATGTGTAACAGTCATGAGAACAGGAATGACCAAAAACCACTGTATAGGCTTAAAGCAAGGCTCCACAAATTTGAAATGAGTGAAATATGCAAATATGATATCATAGAAATGATAGACATCTGAGAATTTCCTCTAATATCTGGAAAATATATAGTATACTTTTTAATGACTTACAGATCAAATAAGAAATTACAGTAGGATATACAGTCAATTTATTGGAAATGAAAACACACTAATGTATGGAGATGTAAAATATACAGTCCTTCTAAGATCACAGAATCAAATACTTATATTACCTGCATACTTATTACATGCAGTTTTCACCAAACATGGTCAATAAATATAAGCAAAATTTCAAAAGCAAAAATGTAAAATTCCTGTGTGTATTATGTGGTTCAGTTGGGCCAGACAAGTTCCCAGTCAGTCCTGTATTATGGTCTGTTGTGTCTAAATTATTGTGTAATCTCCTGAGTATTTCCTGGTTTGAATTTTGTTAAAATGCAACACAACTTCCAAAAGCAAATGGTGCCAAAAAAAACCATAGTAAAAATTAATGTGCTTAATTTCAGAGATAAAGTGAAAATTATACATCTGTTGGAAAGCAATACTCTGTAGAAATTGGGTGACATGTTGGAAAAATGAATCAAGCATGAGCAGTACAGCACTGAACTCTATGCCTGGGAAGTATGTGCTGTTTGTCCTTAGCTGTAGTCTCCTTGAAATCACATGCGGGCAGATACCAATGGACCAGTATTTGAAAAGAAAAGTTGTTTACCTACATACAGCTCATGGGAACCAATTAAATTAAAAGAAAGCAAAAATAACAATAAGTGTCAAAGCACAAATAAATGAAATAGAAAAGAAAAACAATGGAGAAAATAAAGGAAACCAGAGCCTGGTTCTTTGACTAAAGCAAGAAGATAGAAGACACAAATTCCATCATCATGAAAAAAGAGAAGAGCTGGCTCACACTTGTAATGCTAGCTACTCAGGAGGCTAAGATCTAAGGATCATGGTTTGAAGCCAGCTCAGGCAGCAAAACCCATGAGACTCTTATTGCCAATTAAGCACCCCCAAAAAATCTGGAAGTAGAGCTGTAGTTCAAGTGGTAGAGAGCTAGCCTTGAGTAAAAAAGCTCAGGAACAGCTCCCAGGCCCAGAGTTCAAGACCCATGACTGCTTTTCCCACAAAAAAAAAAGAATGTAAGAGATGTCACCACTGTAGACCATCCAGGTCTTAGGAGAGCATATATCAATGTCATAAATACACTCCTAGAAAATTAAATCTAGCAAAACATTAATACTATAACACATCACAACCAAATTGGATTTATCCTACAAATGCAATGCTAATTTAATACTTGGAAATATATTAGTAATTCAGTACATTAACAATTCAGTACATTAACAAAGAAAGGGAGAAAAAATAACATGATTGTATAAGGGGAAAATGATCATTTGACATTTATGATTAAAAACTCTCAGAGGAATCAAGAGGGACTTCAGGTTTGGGCTCATTAAGGGAATGCAAATGTCTCTTCAAGAAACTGATTTCATTTCCTTTGAATATGCACCCAGTAGTGAGATTGTTGGTGGTCATTTTGTTTTTTATCTTTTTAGGAATCTCTATAGCATGTTCTATAATGGCTATAATAACTTACATCACCACTAATGGTGTGCAAAAATTCCTTTTCCCCACTCCCTCACCAGTACTTAGCCCACATCTTTTTGATAACTGTCATGCTTGCTGAAGTAAAATGTTCTCTCATAATAGTTTTGATTTCCATTTCACTGGTGATTAGTGGTACTGATGGCAACTTTGGGGTCTTTTGAGAACTGTTTAAGTTTATTGCTAGAACTGGAAATTTGAAAATAAA